TACTCTACAAACGACGAATAAAAAAGCCATATATGCATGATTGACTACTGAAACAAATGATCATATCATTATGAATATATTTAAAAAGTCTAAATTCCGTTAAAAAGAATGCCATTTACATCCTTTTTCTTTTTTTGCAGAATGGTTTCCTTGGCTTTCTACATTTCCATTTCTTACGTTTTGTTCTTTTTTCTTTTCTTTTTTCGTATATTGGTTTCGTTCTTTCTCAGTTTTTTTTTTCTCGGATTTTTGTCTCTACGAGTTTGTTTTTTAACATTTCTATTCTGTGAATATTTGATAGCCGACTGATTGTGATGTTACATTCTTTTGCTATAGGAGTCGTCTTTGCAGACACCAAGTGCAATGGTTGTAGTGACGCTCCTATCAAAGGCTCCCTTTGGAAATGTCATTCTGATGAATGTATAGACTACCACTTATGTACAAAATGCTACATGAGCGATGTGCATTCTCTTGAACACACTTTCATCTGCAGACCACATCAGAGCCATAAAGGGTAAAATTGAAATGCGGGAAGAGCGCTATCAGTCCTGCACGGTGTGCTAAAACATTTAACTTCCCTAGATTTTGTGAGCGTGTTGGCATATACTTATTAAAATTATGCGGGTGCTGGTAAGGGGTAGCCGCGTAAGTGGTTTGGGGAGGGGGTGGTGAGATAGAGGTGTGTGTATCGCTTTCAATCCAATTTTACATACCTTATCCTATATTTATTCATGCAATATTTACTATTTTTTTAATGGTCTACATTTGTTTTTGTATCTTTCTTCTAAACTAAAATTAAATCGCAACCTTATGAGTACAAAGTCTCACAATCGGTATTTGTTTTGAAATGCGAAGAAATCCAGAAAAATAATACATTTTAATTATAACTAATTTAAAAGCCATTGCCCATCCATCTCTACAGAATTTTGGTTGGTAAACGCTCGATGTCTAAGCGTGTTCAAGCTCGTGGTATATTTCCTGGTGCTAAGGTGGTACGGATCAACGAAGACGACCATGAGAAGTATGGCGTGGGGAACGTGTATGAAGTGAAAACAGACAGTATGTACAAGGGAATTCAAGTCAGTGTTTGCTGGGAAGGAGTAACTGACATTACAACTCACAATTTTGGGCTAGATCAAGACAMAGTAAGAAATTTTCTTGTTACATAAGATTTTTAAAAACAAACTMTATTGCGGTACTAAAAGTAAAATTTTGTTCAACAAGGTTATATACACTTACATTTTACAATATGTTGACAATGATCCTCGATGTCGATGGACATTACATGGGCGCGCGGAGATACGGATTTTACCTTCGAGTGTTGAAAACGAGTGAGCGTAGCGAACGAGTGAGAGTTTTTCAACACAAGAAGATTTGTATCTCCAAGTGACCATGTAATATTCTGTTTATCATATAATTACAAATAAGCAAATAATGTTTTAAATTCCTTTGTTCTTACTTCCACTATATAGAGAAACCTCGAATGTGTTATTTTCACTAGTATGTTATTTTCACTAGTGAAAATATCAATTGTACGAAAGGGAGAAATATAGGTATTTCATAGATAATTATATGATAAATATGATTCTACATTCGATATTTTTGGGTTTTTATCTTTTGCCTGGCCTGCTATGTGTAACTTAATTCGTGCTGTCATAATTTAGCTAGCGCAAATAAGTAGCACCGACACAAGTCACACAAAACCAATACAATAGACCCCTTATGGTTCGTTGGAATTTCTCTTCAACGGGGAGTACGGGAGGGCAAAACTTCACAAGAAGKCAAAAATCATCTTTTGTTTTTCTCCTCAAGATGGAGCTGCTTTGACGTCATATGCAAGGGGTTTATATGTTTTAAAATTTTCTTACAAGCATTTAAAGCTTTCAACATTTTTATAGACGACTATACATGAAGCTCTTCTCTTCTTGGGTTTCATGTGACTTCATGGGAACTAGCGGCAAGTTAGTGTGACCTGCGTCGTTGTTTCTAAAGGAACACGTTTTAGTACAAAAGATAAATTTGACWCCGTAAAGAGTAGGTGAAATAACTTACTGACGTTTGGTTTTTCCTTCGTCGAATTCCCGTTCTTTCCTTCACCTTTTTTACCCTTTTTTGAAATAGCTATACATTATTTCAATTAATATGTTTGTAGATCAACATAACGCTTGTCGATAGTGCTGAAGGACCATTGTATTATAAGGCCCATCTACCTTTGGCAGCTGCCGATGATGAACAACACCCCGCGATGTTGGGATACGATGATGAAGAGCATAAAAAAGAAACCAACATAGTAGATACTTTGGCAGCTTTTGTGCAAGGCTTGACTCTTTCAAAGACAAAAAAGGGCAAACGGAATAAGTCTGACAGTGATAAAAATGGTATACAAAAATACAATCATATACATCTATTTGCAATAACTCTGGGTCGACCGCCACCGTCAGAACAAAGCTTGTGATTGATCGAGACAACAAAATCAAAGAATTGTAGGATTATGTTAAACAATGCCTATTGTTATTATTATCTACTGGACATTTTTCTTTTTTCTTCTTTTTGTATTGCCTGTCTCTCTTTATTATTTCATCAAATCACAATCTTTGTTCTAACAGAGGTGTACACCCCATAGTTCTTATCCCCATACCCTATATCAATTTTTAGCACACTTGTGTAAATTCTCGCGCGCTGATTGGCTGATTAGAGAGTTTCAATAACATATACTGCCCAACTATTGCTCGAGAGAAAAGAAAGAACGAGCTGCAAACGGTGTTTATAGGTGCGTGCTCTTATCAAAATACGGAACTAGTTGACATCATGATCCTGTGCCTCGCGGGATACAAATAAGTCACAGACTCAGCCTCATTCCCAGGTCCTTTTTCCGAGAGCCATTTTGAAAAAATGAGCAAAGAAGCCCTGGGAACGAGGTTGGTCAAAGACTGTTTGTATCCCGCGAGGCACGGGATCGTGACGTAATAACACAGGTAATCCGTATTCAACTAAGAGCGCGCGCCCATAAAAAAAGCGTGATCTTTCTTTTCTCTCAAGCAACAGTTGAGAAGCCTATGTCAATTCTTGGGTTTCAGTTACGTCATCACAATTTTTATTTTACTCGAATTAAAAAATGACATTGATGCCCTTTTAGAGCATAAAAACTAGTTAGTTTGACAAAAAATTAGGACTGTAGAGAGTTTCTTGCAGATTTATTATCAATCGAAGATTCGCAAAATTGGGTAAAAATGTATGGAGAAATCCAGGTGGAGGTCAACATCTGACCTCTACCTGGATTCAATGGTTTATAAAACGACAGAAATTTAAATTTTTTGACATATTTCGTGATAATATTCTTTCATTTAATAAAATGTGCCTATATGAGGCAAAATGTTTTATGTACATCGAATTGTAACGGTTTTTTATAGTTCCGTGACGGCATTGCGTGACACAATTCAATCTTTAATATCTCGAGAACGAAACAATTGATCACACTCATTTTTGTTCTTATATCTTTATAATACCTATAGTTATAACATATATAGTTTGTATCATCATAGGATGCTTATTAGAGATTTAATATTTTTGTGACGTCACATGAAACCCAAGAATAGGAGGGCTTGCACACTGTGCTGACATCATCACTTCTCGAGCGCGCACTCAATTGAAAGAAAAGAATGATATTCGCTAATTTCTATTATCCTTTCAGTAAAAAAGGAATTTAAAATGATCTTGGGAAGTCGAGTAGTTCGAGGTCCAGATTTTTGTCGTCTATGGGGTGAACAAGATGGCGGCGAAGGGAATGTCGGAACCATTATAATTACCAAGGAAAATGACGACAGCAACGCTTTACCAGATCAGATGGTAAGAGTGCGTTGGGATAATGGTCARGAAAATACTTGCATAGCAGGACTAGTTGGATGGTATGATCTAAGGATCCTTGATTCATCTTCTTCTGGTGAGTCCGACAAAYTTCACTATGTAAATCAGAATGATTAATAAATAAAACTGTTGTTGTTGTTGACAATTCGATCAAGACGGTTCTCTAAAACAATTCAGTTGCTTTAAAAATKACCATTTTTAGCACCATCATCAAATAGCTGACCAAAAAGCAATAGCATGAATGTTTAATATTGTATGTCGGTACAAAGTTAAATTATGAACAGTGGAAAGTCTGAGATATGTCTATAGGTATATATCATATATATAATACACCTATTTCAAAAAACGTTGTTGTCACCACGACACAGTCCACAGTCTATAGCTGGCGTTAACCCAGCAATAGTCTCGCCACGAGACATTTTCCATGAAAAAAAATATTCCACGTTTTCAAACCGCCAATGAGTTTCAAAGCTATRTTCGCTACGACACCGAGAATAATCCAGTTTCGATTTTATACTCTGTGTTACCCTCATTTGTGCGTTAAATATTCCTAATTCTGAGAATAAAAGTGTGAGATTTCAAATCATTTCTATTGTCTTTCTTTTCAAATTCCATGCGTTTTCTCGTGCTATCAATGAAACTAAAAGAGGCTAACACAGAATAAACCAGAACTCTCTATATTGGAGTATTTTGAATAACTGAAGTGTTGAATATATAACTAAATATGCCAATCCCAAGATTTATTGTAGGCTCAAGACCGTGTGCTGTGTCCTGGCGACGACAACGTTTTTTGAAATCCGACGGATAAACTCATATAATACAGGGCAATTGATCGGAGTGAATAACCTTAGCTTATCCATGCGCCCTTAGGTACAACCGTTGTTTGAGGAATTCCAATACTTACAGTACATGCACGCACTTGARTCATTTCTTTTTGTATTCTTTTGCTGTAGGAGTCGTCTTTGAAGACACCAAGTGCAATGGTTGTAGTGACGCTCCTATCAAAGGCTCCCTTTGGAAATGTCATTCTGATGAATGTATAGACTACCACTTATGTACAAAATGCTACATGAGCGATGTRCATTCTCTTGAACACACTTTCATCTGCAGACCACATCAGAGCCATAAAGGGTAAAATTGAAATGCGGGAAGAGCGCTAATTGTCCTGTACGGGGTGCTAAAACATTCAAACTAGATTTATGTGCGATCTGATGTATGATTGTAACCGTGACCAGCAATTCATTATTTTGAAATTTGAATTGAAGATCACAAAAAAAATTACTATAAAAGCCATTATTTTTTTAGAGTTTTGGTTGGTCAACGCTCTATGTCTAAACAAATCCAAGCTAGTGGAATTTTTCCTGGTGCTGAGGTGATGCGAAGCAACGAAGAGGAGCAGGCAAACTATGGAATAGGAAACGTGTTTGAAGTGAAAACAGACAGTATGTTCAAGGGAATTCAAGTTGGTGTTTGCTGGGCAAAAGCTGACATTACAACTCACAAATTCGGACCCGATCAAGAAAAAGTAAGATAAATTGTAAYTGTATCATTGTATCAGGTGCATCTTGGGTAATTCTTCTATTTTCACTCTTTTCTCGTTGAATAATTAATAAGATACAAATATCTGCAGTTTGATGCAAATGTAGAATTCTTTTTAGAGTGTTCAACATTTGAGGAGCAATAAAAAGTTAAAGTAAAAATACATTTTCATTTCCTATATGCAAAGACTTTATAATACTCTAGTTTCGAATTCATAGCGAAAAACCGCTGCTTTATTTGACAACAGATTCTCTTGCGCAAAGACTGGCTTTACAAACACAAAAGAGCGCACGAGAAAATGTTGTTATTACAATAGACTTGAAAATTTGCATTTTCCCCGAGTTGAGATTATCCCTGTATTCCCATAAGACCTAAGGTATGAGCAGGGTTAGCCTCAACTCGGGGAAAATGTTCTTAGCGCTCTATTGTATTAACAACATTTTCTCGTGCTTTCTTTTGTCTTTGGTAAGTTCTTTGCGTAATAGCATGTAATAGAATCTGCTGTCAAGTAAAACAGCGGTTATTCGCTTTGAATTCGAAACTGGAGTATTGATTCAGATCTGTCTGGTTGAGATGTTATATACTAGTGGGACAGATCTATAGCAATGAATCAACTGAATCAAGTATAAATTCAAATATATAGAGGATATTAATTACATGGGCGCGCTGAGATACGGATTTTATCTTCGTTGAAAAGATCTCTCACGAGTGAGCGTAGCGAACATGTAATATTCTATTTATCATATAATTGTATACGAAAGCAAATTATGTCGTAAAATACCTTTTTTCTTACTTTCACTATACAGAGAAACCTCGAATGTGTTATTTTCACTAGTGAAAATAACATGTTATTTTCACTAGTGAAGATATATATCAAGTTTACGAAATGGAGAAATATAGGTATTTCATAGATAATTATATGATAAAAAGTTTTCTTCTGATACATACATATTATTCAATACATTACAGCCAATTGCAAAAGGTTGTGGATTGAAGTATGTACATGTTGTCAATACAGGGGCAAGATATATGATTTGAAATCAATAATATCCACCTTAACTTACTGTAAATCGCATCTTATTAGCAACTAAAACTGATGGCAGTGCATGGCACTGTCCGATATGTGATTTGTAGGCTGGTTACTAGTCAAAAARCTAGGTGCGAGGAGTGTCGTATTCTAAAAACAGTACATGTTGAGAAAGTGTGTGTGGCTCTGAGCCTCCCCAATTAGTAGAACACCATTTTGTCTGAGACGTTAATAAAGTTATTTATTTATAAATACATTTACTTAATCGTATGAGGAAGTGGCTGATCCCATTAAATTATTAAACACTGTCTGATGAGTGCGTAGCACGAAACTCGGAGTCACAGCAAAATCTTGCCTCTTTGATATCATATATAAATACATTTACTTATAAATACGCCCCTTGAGGGACTCAGTGTCACACGCACTTGAATTCCCATTTTGATATGGTTAAATTTTTAGATTGATATCACACTTGTTAAAAGCGGAGAAGGGCCATTGTATTATAAGAGCCATCTACCACTCGCTGGTGCCGATGATATTGATTATCCCGCTATGCTGGGCTGCGATGATGAMCAGAATAAGAAAGAAAGCGATGGAGATACTCTTAATCGGCATTTAGCTTTATTACAAGCATTAAAKGATTCAAATACCAGAAGATGTAAGCTGAAAGTGGGGGACAAAGTAGTCATACACCTTAAGAAAAACTCAAAGAGAGTGTACGAGTCTAACCTCGGTGGAGATGAAGCAGCAAAGGTAAAGTCTTCGTYGCCTACCAAGTTAGGAAAGTTGATAAGCAGTTCTTTAGAACATCCACTATTATTCTACTTGCAGATTGTAGGGGAAATTGGAATAATAGTGAAGGTCAAACCAAACGGAAAAGTTCACGTCAAGTTCAACTCACTTCCGAACGTTTGGAAATTCCCGCATGACAATTATTTTTCAAAGGTATGAAGTCATCTGTGAAACCAACTAAATGAGAGTAAACGTTCTACTTAGCCATGACAGTAAACAAGTTAAACATGAGTCAGTATAAAAAATCCTAACCATGTAGACAACAATTCAACCAATTTATCAAGTAGCTATTGAAATGTAAATTCGTCTTCAACAGATCTCCAAACTGAGACCTGGAGACAATGTACGTTTAACTGACAACATTGATGCTCTGAAGAAAATGCAGGAAGGTTATGGAGAGTTTGATGATAACATGGAGGCGGTAAGAAATCTTCACAGTTTCTATTAATGATCGTATAACTTACCACTTCAGTATTCAGTGGGACTGTCGACCCTCCCTCCGCTCTTCTTTTCTATACTTTGCTTCAGTTTTTGTTAATGCATTTTTTCCTTTCTTCTTCTCCTTTTATAAAATCTTTTTTTACTTCTTTTTGTTTTGCTTAGAAATAAGCGGGTAACTGTTTCGATTAAGTGTTACTGACTTATGCCTTAGGCCCCAGATTAGTTCTATCCCTCTATGTCAATCATTATCATTATCATCATTTCAGTATCTTGGCAAATGCGGTGTAGTAACAGAAGTTGACCAGAATGGAACAGCAAAAGTAAATTTCGAAGGGACATCCTGGAATCTGAACTCGGCAGCTGTCGTACGGGAGTCCAATCCAGAAGGCACGACAGATGGTGATAAAAGTGAAGAAAATGAATCTGACGGTGATGAAAATGGTACTGAAAATGTTTGCACATATGAAAGGATACATCACTTCCGCGTATGATTGCATTTCAATTCAAGAATGTCCTTGATAATAGGAAACCCTAGATACAAACGCAAATCCACCACTAAGTTGAAGAAGCTTTAGTCACATTCAAAGTCGTATAATGCGTTTTAGATCACAGAATGTTATGTCAAAGTAACGTATAGAAGAAGTAATTGATATTACATAAGATTCGATCTATTGATATTCCTGCATGCTAATCGATAAAATAAAAGTAATTAGTACTCTCCCATAATAACCAACTGGTTATAAGCTTCTATTTAATATTTCTATATCTTATATCGATGTAACTGATGTACATGATTTTTGGCAAAGATACTTCAGGTTTGTCAGCTTTGGCAAAAGCCTTATTTCGTTCAAAGACGAAAAGGAGTAAACTCAAAATCGGGGATAATGTAGTCATTCACCTCAAAAAAGACGTGAAAAGAGTGTACGAATCTAATCTCAGTGGAAACGAAGCAGCAGAGGTAATTACAAATGAAATCTACTGATTGGAATGAATGACAAGGAGTTTTCTAAAAGATCGCCCATCTCACTTACAGATTGTAGGGGAAAATGGAAGAATATYGAAGGTCAAACCAAATGGAAAAGTTCACGTCAAGTTCAAATCTTTGCCGTACATTTGTAAATTCCCGGATGGTAATTATTTCTCAAAGGTAGAGTATGTCTTATGACTTCTTGCAATTAAGTCAAACAACGAAAATAATTAACTAAGTAAAACGTTTGGTAACCAAAGAACTAACCACTACAAATGGTAGTGGCAGGCAAAATCTTGCTAAATAACAAGGATACAGTGAGAAATCGATGTCAAATACATGTAACTCCCTTTGCAAAGCAGTAACAACAATTCAACCAATTTATCAAGTAGCTATTGAAATGTAAATTCGTCTTCAACAGATCTCCAAATTGAGTCCTGGAGACAATGTACGTTTAACTGACAACATTGATGCTCTGAAGAAAATGCAGGAAGGTTATGGAGAGTTTGATGACAACATGGAGGCGGTAAGAAATCTATTACGATTTCTGTTGAACTTTACATACAGCTGTAGTTTTCAGTGTGCTCAATAACATTTATTGCTGCCTTCCCTCCACTAGCTTCTTATCTATACTTTTCTTCAGCTTATTTTAATGTTGACTCTAAGTTGTTATTAGTTTGTTATTCTTTTTTGTCTTCATGTTTTGTATCTTCCTCTACTTCAAGTTCGTTTTGTTTAATACAAGAGCAATGCCATTGTAAAAGGCACCTAAGCTGCTAAGGTCACTTTTGGGATCGGCTCTAAACCCTACATGTCACAGCTCACTCACGGTCGTGTTCTTTTGGGCTCATTTGCATTCACTACACTCATATATATATAATATGTCGTTGCTTCGGATTAAGTGTGACTTTCCTGAGTGCTTTGTTTCGTATTGATTTTTTCTATCTATGTCAATCATCACCATTATCATCATTTCAGTATCTTGGCAAATGTGGTGTAGTAACAGACGTTGACGAAAAAGGAACAGCAACAGTAAATTTTGAAGGGACATCCTGGGCTCTGAACTTCAGTTCAGTTTTTGTTAATGCATTTTTTCCTTTCTTCTTCTCCTTTTTATATACTCTTTTTACGGCTTCTTTTTGTTTTGCCTAGAAATAAGCGGGTAACTGTTTCGATTAAGTGTTATACTGACTTATGCCTTAGTCCCCAGATTAGTTCTATCCCTCTATGTCAATCATTATCATTATCATCCTTTCAGTATCTTGGCAAATGCGGTGTAGTAACAGAAGTTGACCAGAATGGAACAGCAACAGTAAATTTCGAAGGGACATCCTGGACTCTGAACTCGGCAGTTGTCATACGGGAGTCCAATCCAGAAGGCACGACAGATGGTGATGAAAGTGAAGAAAATGAATCTGACAGTGATGAAAATGGTACTGAAAATGTTTGCATATATGGATATAATATCATTTCCGCGCAGGATTGCATTATTAAGATGTCTTTATATTCACCAAATTGAGAAACTCGCATTCAAACAAAAGAAAATAGTGCGTCAGTATTTACAGGAAATATAGATAAAGTTTGMATTTCGCGGTAATTGAACAAAAACGTCAAGAAGACATGATTTTTGGCATTAATCTCAAGGATTCTCTTGATAGGAAAGAGATAATTAAGGCACGGAATGTTGATAAGTCACGAAATGTTGATAAGTCACGTGTAAACGATATACAATGTTTATACACAACTAGTTGCACAGGAACATAAAACGGCAAACCGCGATTTCGCCCGCACTCGAGGTCTGAAAAACGTTAATCTTATAAATCTCTCTACTTGAGGGTGTACTCGTAACAATACGGAATTTGATAATCTCTCATAATCTCATTTATCTTGTATCGCCATGACTGATGTTCTCCTTTTTTGGCAAAGATGCTTCGAGTTTAGCAGCTTTGACGAAAGCCTTGCTCCATTCTAAGAAGACAAAAGGGAAAAAGCTGAAAGTGGGGGATAAGGTAGCCATACACCTTAAGAAAGACGTTAAGAAACTGTACGATTCTAACCTCAATGGGAAGCAAGCAGCAAAGGTAAAAGCCAGAAATATGATATCTGTAATATTAACTTAAATGTCTTTTTGATGCCGATTAACAGTAATCTTTTTACAGTTTGTCGGGGAAATTGGAAAAGTAACGGAGGTAAAATCAAGTGGAGGAGTTTCAGTTCAGTTCAAGTCATTCCAGGAAAATTGGAGTTTCCCGGATCCTACTTTGTTTTCAAAGGTATGACACAACCAATGCTATGGTGTAGAATATTCGATAATGTGAACTTAAGAACCGATGAAACTTATCAGTCGGGTTAAGTTAAGTTGTTTGCACTAACCGACCAAAAAATCCATCCAAAAATAAAGAACTCATACTAAAAACCAAACAATCAACAAGCAAGTAAGCCGGTCATGTAACTAAATTAACTAAATCAACTAGCCCACATACGCGGTAAACTAAGCTTCCCGCCATCAACAACCTACCCTCTACCTATATTAGTTCAATCATCAAAAACTTTCACCGCCCATAAACTGAAAATTCTTCATTTGAAAGGTCTCAAAATTGTGTCCTGGAGATGTTGTTCGCTTAACTGACAACGTTGACGCCCTGAAGAAAATGCAAGAAGGTCATGGAGGATTTAACTATGAAATGATGTCGGTAAGAAATCCTTCCAGTATAGTTACAATAGTCCGCCTCACATTACTAGAAAATGTTCCACGCGCAGAAATTGAATATATACATGAGAGAGTACATCACAAAAGGGGTCTCGTGACAGGCGGGAAAATCCCGCCGTCCAAAAGAGGCAATTCATCCATTCTCATCACTGTCCTGCCTACAAGGAAGGTCACCAATCAATGTGGGCTTTTTTGATCAGTAATTTCRGCTTTACTTACCAAGAAAAAAAGGAAACTGCGCGCGTTGTGTTCGTGTCTATTGTCCAGGTGCATGACGGTCAATGGGCGTCACTGGGCATCTGCCTAGCATCGTGAGATTTGCGTCTTGTGTGCTATGTATTGTCTAGGGTCAGGTCAAGATGAGAGAGTACATCACAAAAGGGGTCTTGTGAGAGGCGGGAAAATCCAGCCGTCCAAAAAAGGCAATTCATTGGTTGGTTTGCATCAAAAGGGTCTTAATTCTTTAGCCCCCTTTTGTGCTGTCCATTCTCATAATAATTGGAACATTGGAAATGTCTTTTTTGGTGGCGGATAACCTTGAAGATCGGCTGTAAGTAAAAAAACAGTAACATTTATCAACGGAGCTAAATAATTGTTTTGAAAAAGCTGGTTAATTGGTTCCAGTCCCACGATCTTACGTCTGAACATGTAGTGACATATGAAAATTTCTACATCATTTACATGAAACCTGATTACAAAATTTTCAATTTCAAACAACCCTCTCGAACTCTGCCATCGTCTGTATTTCAGAATCTTGATACATCTGGCGTAGTAACAGAAGTTGACCAGAAAGGAACTGCAACTGTAAATTTTGAAGGGACGTCTTGGTATCTGAACTCGGCAGCTGTCATAAGAGAGTCCAACTTAGAGGGTAGGACGGATGAGGACGAAAGTAAGGAAAATGACTCGGACACCGACGAAAATCAGCTGGGAAATGGTATGAACAATTCCTTTATTGAATAAAAATATGCATTTACAGTCTTTCTTCTCATGATGCTATTTTGAAGTCGTATTTTGGCGAAATGCATACTGGTTGATAAGTAGTATATATCAAGATAGATTATGAAAATTACTATTTAAAACTAAGGAGGACTAAGTTAATTACTTGCAAATTAACGTTATCGGTTGTAAACAACGCTTTGGGAGACCATATATGAGATGCCTGTACACTGGCCAGGGAAATGATCCTTGCTTTAAGCAAAAAGCTTGAAACAAGCCAGAAATGCATTCGGGGAAAAAATATCAATCCAATGCTGCATCTCACCAACATTTTTAAGGGAAAAGACCATTTAAGGAATAAAAAACAGTTTTCCGTGTATTATACTCTGATAAAAACACGCGGGATGTGGGGACAACACGAGTGAAGCGTGGGAAAGCACGACGCGAAGCGGAGAAGTGTAGAATAGGCCCAACTATAAAATGTATTTTTCATTTTTTTCCACGTATATTTTCAAATTATATTTATGATACAACAAAACTTTCTTTTATGTTAACAGCCTCTTTGCGTTTAACGAATATTGTTGCCATTATTATTTTATAGAATCAATAGAATTAGTGAAATATGGTATGGTACTAAGTAAAGTTTTTGACACAATAAAAGCAAGCCAAGAGGTAAGATTTTTAAATAACTTAAAAGTTATAGGAGGGAGGTCTGGTGCCACCATTGAGGGACTCATCATAGGCAACGGTAACGATATTTACAACGAGTATTTTGCATAAAAAATTGTTCAAAATGCAGAATTTTAGACCTTTTCATTTTTGTGATCGCCCGATGTAAACAAGAGTATCTGCAACATTCGAACTCCCGAACACTCCCGACTCTTTTCCCGAGACACGTTCGATCTTCCGATCTCTTCACGATAACAGAGTGAAAATCGGGAAACATGAAGCGCCAGCGCCGGCCACAAAAAAGAATTAAAGGCGGCCTCCAGCTCAAAATTATAGCAGAAAAGTTCCATATAATAAACATCCCTCTTTAATAATCAAGCTTGTTCGAAAACCAGCTCTCTTGCTTTGTATGTGCAGAAAAATAGGACCTCGGTCTTGAACGTAATGGCTTTGATCTGACATTTTTCTTAACAGACTTTCGGCGCTTGTTTGAATTTCGATAATTATCTTCATTATAAATTCTAGGGTCCCGATCAAACAAAACCTCAGACCATTGTGGACCCCGACTCTAAAGAGGTGTACAAAATGAAAAGCAGCCCCAGAGGCTTGATGGTAATCATCAACATGAAAACATTTACCCCACAGACCAACCTAATTGAACGCAAAGGCTCCGATAAAGATGAACACGCGTTATACAATGTGTTTAGAAGAAAATTGGATTTCGATGTCTGGCCGATTTTGAAAGACAAAAGACGACTTGAGCTGCTGCAAGAGCTTCGAGTCATTGCCGAGTGCGAAGACAACAAACGTTACGACTGTCTAGCGGTTTGCATTATGAGTCACGGCGAAGTTGATTCCGATGGCAATGATGTGTTCTTTACAAGCGATTCACGTCTAGTCAAATTGAAGCAAGTCTTAACGATGTTTACCAACACTGACTGTGAAGTTTTTCGTGGTAAACCAAAGCTGTTCTTCATACAGGCATGTCGTGGTGACCTTGGAAAGGCCTTAAAATCAGAAGAGCCCAGTACAGCGTCCGATGCTATACTCGATGGAAGCGAATCAGGATCCAAAGAAGAAACTAGTCAACCAAAACGTAAAGATCCCGATATGGCAGACATGGTGATTGCCCACTCAAGTTTTGATGGCTATACGGCACATCGAGATACAGACGAAGGGAGTGTCTTCATCCAAAAACTGGCAAAAGTGTTTAGTGAATTTGCAGACAAAGAGCACATCGCTGATTTGATGACAAGAGTTAATGAGGCAGTACACACGGATATCCAAGATGATTCAACTGGCCGAACACAAGTGCCAACTCTTAAATCCACACTGCGAAAGAAGCTGTATTTCTGGCCAACGATCAAGTTTGATAGATAAGCACAACATAATGAGATTACGAGACACATTGTTTGTTTCGATAGAAAATCTGGATTTTCCATTTAATTTTGTAGGGTTTGCACGGAACTTACATTGTTGTAATGTTACCCTAAACTCACGAAACTCAGCTAAACTACACTCCCTTGAAAACTTACACCCATAAACAACGCCCTGTCGCCCTACGCTAGTTTAAAGCCTTGTAGTTTCATTGTTTTAATATCCAATATCCTCGTTTACGACGAGAGTGCCTCAAAAACTTTCCATGGCAGACTTAAAGATATAAAATACAAACCAAGATGTGTCAAACATATTTGTTGTTATGGGAAACTTGTAGATCACTCTCCTTGTATTGTTAAATGTTGTTCATTATACCTAGGAAAAGTCAAACATCTAAGCGATGAGTTCAATGCCTTCTGTTTTAGGCCTTGCCACAAATTAGATCAATTCGATTTTTGTCGTTCTCCAATTGGCATCAACACTCTAAACCAAATTTTGCCAGATTTGTGCAGAAGCTGGTTTGAAAAAAAAAACTTCTCATTGTCTAAGGATTACCTGTGCAAGTAGGCTTTTCCAGAACTCAACAGAGGAGAACGTTATTATCCGTGAGCAAACAGGGCATCGTTCAAATGCATTGCCAACTTTAGAGAAATACTCCATTTTTYGAATTCCAAGCGAATAACCGCTGTTTTATTTGACAGCAGATTCAATTACGCAAAGAACTTACCAAACACAAAAGAAAGCACGAGAAAATGTTGTTAGTACAATAGCGCTAACAATTTACATTTTCCCCGAGTTGAGGCTAACCCTGTATTYCCAGAAGGCTCATACCTTAGGTCTTATGGGAATACAGGGTTTGTCTCAACTCGGGGAAAATGCAAATTTTCAAGGCTATTGTAATAATGACATTTTCTCGTGCTCTCTTTTGTGTTTGGTCAGGTCTTTGCGCAAGAGAAAGCGGATTTTCGCTATGAACTCGAAACTGGAATACTTTGAATACTTTGGATTGCAATGATGATAGTGATTTTCAGTCTTTATTTGATTTAGATTTAGATATTCCTGATGATATACTTGCAAATATATCAGAACCGTCTAGCTCTGCTAATCTTGAAAGTACATTGTCAGCATCCGGTGCAATATTTAACAATTGCGTATTTCATTTCGCTCGCTAATAGAACTTGAAATGGCATAGACATCTATAGTCATAAATATGATAACAAATTAAGTTATCAACAAATACAGTTATCAAAGATAAATAACATGATTTGCAATTCGTATCATGGATACAAATKCTGTGGAACTATAATATTAGTCATAGAACTTTGTATTTCTTTATCTATCCACACGTACCTTTATATAAAGACACATGTAACTTTAGATATAGATTAAAGCTCACAAAAAATCATTGTCTGTGTATTATAACCGTTATTCCCCTGGGCTGAATTCAAATCCCTCCCCGCGCTTTAAATTTGTATAGTACTTTATACAGCTCTCCATGTGACTACTAATGAGTATCGAATTGGACAAAATGGCTATTGAATATTAATGAGTTTTTTAAATACTGTATTATCAGTATACAACGACCTTGATGACATGTTCGTCGAGTTCACCAAAGTACTGAATTTGCTTTCTCTGCAACTATTGATTGCAGACTGAAGTCCTGAATGATCAGAAATCATGATTACCATTTCATTATTGTGATTGCTCAATAGAGCAAATTCCCAAGTGAAAACAATGCATCGCTTTTTCTTTCAAGGACATTTTTCAATCATTTTTTTCATCTATATTCAACAAATTAAAATGGCTATTAACTCTATTAAACATATGAGATTTTTTAAGTGTAATTAATCAATAAAGTAAATTCCCAAGTGAAAACAATGCATCTCCTATTATTCCAAAGACATTTTTTTTAATTGTTTTCTATCGATATTGAACAAAATGGCAATTGAACATTAATGAGATTTTTTAAGCCATTTAAAAAACTCGTAGCACGTGTTTTATCAAGGATCAAAAACCTTCGCTGCGCTCGAGATTGTAATTCCCATTCAACAAGCCGCTCATGTTGTAAACTATACCTGATAAAACACGATCTCGAGTGTTTTAAACGGCTTAAAAAACTCCAGCACTAATTTGAAACTCAAATCCGTTAAAATTCTTGGAGAAATTGCCGTAAAAATATGTTTTGAGATAAATGGTGCAAACTGATCATGCGCGAATCACTTTACAAAGCACTATTGTCATCCCACATTGAATACACATAAATTAAAATAGAAGGGCTGTTGGCTGTTTATACTGCAATCGGTTGACATCCTGCATTGGTCAATGTCAGGCGAAGCCCTGGTCGTGTGATTGGTGGGTTACCTCTGTTTTTTCTTGGTGTCTAGTGAACTTTGACTGCGCTCTCACTTGTGGGATTCCTCGCTATGTTGGTACGGGATAAAACAGTTACGGTTAGAAAGTCTGAAGGAATGGTTCCGGATTATTCCACCTTTTGCAACCTGGTGGACGCTGGAGCATTCCCTGCGATCCAAAGTTGGTCACGCAAGTAATGAAGTCTGGAGATATGCACCATGTGTCTTTCAAGACGAACAGAGTGATGATGGAGACTGCCAAGGTTTTCAAGAGGGACACCGAGCTTAGGTCTTTCTTTGTAGACCCTGTTGGCAGGCGCCGAGACTACGTCAAAGTTTTTAATATGCCGTTTGATTTGCATTCAGTGTACAGTTAGCGTTTGCGTGGGGCGAATAGCGACCTTCGTTGCAATTAACCAGTCCTTACAAACTGAACATAATAGTCATCTCAACTGACCAATCGTAGGGCGTTTAGCTAGTTAGTTGAGCGCGCTCAACCTGGTCGATATAGATAAGGCAAGCCCTGCCACGGTATGGTAGGGCGTTGATAGTACGCTTATTGGTCTATTAACAAAGTTGCGTGATACGCACCAGGCAGAACCTATTTCAACGGTATACGTACCGTACCTATTTTTCTCAAGGAAGATGTAGAGTTACTGGAGGAGATGTTGTGGAAGGTTTCAGGGGGCGAGTACTCAACACCAGTTTGCCCCACTGCAGTCTATGTAAGAAGAACGGTCATCTCAGAAAGTCTTGCCCGGAGCTTGTATGCAATAGATGTAATGAATGGGGGCATTTTGCAAACAGATGTCCTCAAGCTTTCTGCCAAAATTGTAGCACGATTGGTCACTGGTMAAGACAATGTAAGSTCAACGAATTAAGGAAAAAATCTGAGGAACATGCTAAAACGGTCTCAAAGAAGAGTGCCAAGGGCACGTATGCTGCGGTGGCTGCGACTGATCCAGCCAAGACTKGTTCTAGATCAGTGCCGAGTAAGGATTCTGCGAAAAGAGTGTGCACCAGTAATGTCGCTGGCGTGTCGGGTTTGCCACCTGACCGCCCCCTGAGGATTTCGACTTCTTTTGGAAGCCAGTTTAGTCCCAGTGTAGCTATGGATGTCGGAATGTAACCACAATATGATTTACTGAGGAAATATTAGGTCACCCTCTCACCCAAATGATGCACCCACTCCGCTTAGGGTTGACTTTGAACATTTTTCAATAGGTTATTGACATTTTGAACTTTTTATTGTCTCTGCATGCTTGAATTGGAGATATATGGCTTTGTCTCTTCATATTTACTTAGCTTTTGATTATTAGAAAAAAATAGCTATAGTGTTCTGTGCTCTACCATGTTGAGTATTGGATTTGCCTTACACATTTTTGTCTTTGAATTATACGAATGGCTATAGTARTGTGTCTGTGCTGTATCAAGCTGAGTCTCGTAATAATTTTGCTTGACGTTCTTAGTAATATTTTTTGTTTTGTTTTGTTATTTAATTATTAAGAATCTTATGTAATTAGTAGCTTGTAGATCAATTATTTATCTATTTTCCTTTTTACACGCTTTGGTTGTATATGTAGTGTTTTTGAAATGCAATAAGGTTCTTTAAATTAGCTTATTTTTTAAATAATTTATTTATAATTGTTTTAAGGTATTTAGAATATTATAGTTTGCGTGTTCGGTTGTAGTTGTAGGATCGTGGATTATAAAATGAGATAGTTTGTGTATCCGTAGTGTTTTGGATTGCAAGTTAAGGATTTATTGTGTAAAATAAACATTTTATCACATCAAAAAAATCAAACCTGAGACCTTTGCTAGCGTCATGGACCTTTATATCTGATAAAGGTCACCCTCATTAGTCTTATTAGTATTCTTTATATAAAGAATACTAATAAGGAGTGTTTTATAAGATATAAAGGTCCATGCATGTGACCAAATAGGCTCATTCTATTGGCCTAATAACTCACTAATTATGTATGAGTTTTTGAAATCCCGATACAATACACACTCTCGCTCTATAAACAACACTTAGCCAATCATATTTTAATATAGCTGCCAATTACTGTCATTTTGTATTTGAATAATATGCACTATAAAAAGGCAGATTGAAATTGTATAGTCTAGMGTTGGAAGCTGCAAGCAAGGTGTAGCAAAGCTTTTGGTATTGTTCTTATTAAACCTCTTTTGATCCAGCACCGGCTCTTACTGAGTACATCCCACAAACTAACAAACCACAGATTTGTTCGCTAACATGGGTATTAGTGAAACATGAAAAAAGGACATATACAAGATTTAATTTGCGTAAATTGTTCCGTAGATCTTTAAGATTCGCCATTAGCGAATTAAGCGAATTAAATTTACTCACTGACAAGTCACTGACAAGTCATTGAAAAATTTTATTTCTTATAATAAACACTTAGCTTGCAATGTTTTTTATTACACACAGTCCATTCAGATCTAAAGACGACTGATAAATTTCGTCAACTGAATCCTTGGAGGCTATCAGCCTGAGCCTTGAGTTAGCGGAGTTTGCAGTAGCATCAGGAATAGACATCAATCTGTTTATGAATCTATCTATCTATGTCTTAAAGTCCACCTCATCCATTTTTTTATATTTGGAAAGAAAAGACTTTTGTTATAGTAACAACACTTTGTACAAAAAAATTGATTTCGTTCATTTAATCTAATTTAATCCCCCCCCCCCCCCCCCCCAATAATTTTTCCGACATTTCACCATATATATTCCATAACAATTGTGTAAAAACTGAGCATGAACAATTAAAATTGAAGGTTTTTTGCAAAGTCTTTGGGATTTATTGATAATATCGCTGACCGTGTGTGCGGTAAAAATGTCTTTCATAACGCCTCAAATCGCTGGAAATGACATTTCCGAGAGTTAAGATTTCAAAAATTTCCGACCCCCCCTAGTACCTCCCAAACCTTTTTTTCCAAATGTGAAAAAATTGGGTGAGGTGGACTTCACATTTGGAAAAAAAAGTTTGGGAGTATGAACTACAATAAAAAACAAATTTCCAAATTCTATATTTTTTATTAACTAATATGAACTGCGTCGGCGTTCGAAGGAAAGAGTTGTGTGAAATACGATAAATCCCACGGAAGTTAAGGGCGACTTTAATTACCGTGTCCAGGACGAAGGACATCTTTCTGTATCTGTTGACTTCATAAAAACTGATGATAAATTCTCGAACGTTTTCTGCCTGGTTCTTGTAATGACGTGGTGTTTATCTAAATACTAATAATGTCTGTTTGATATAAGAACTAACAGTACACCTAATTTTCCTGTGATGATTTGAAAAATAATAACGACAATAAACCCATTTAGCGATCTCTTTTACGTGGGTTAGCCTCAAAACCATGTAATAAATTCTTTTATTCACTAAGGCTCCAGACCAGAGACGTGGGTATAGAAGACAATGGAACTTGTTTGAAATCTCACGAGTTTTATCTACATTTCTGAATACTTCAGCACACAATTGAGGTTAACACAGCGTAAAAAGAGATCGCGAAACTCGAGTATGGAACAGCTTGGTGAAAGCCGTACATTCAGTACATCGAACAGCGGTATTTGGCCGCGTTTGCCAATTCCCGAGCTGAGCTCTGATTGGCTCGCTGATCCCTAATGATTTTGGTGACTTCATATATTAGCATAGAACTTCACCGAATAGACTATCCCTATCAGATATCAGATATATTTATAAGTGTCTTCATAGTACGATGGTCTAAGAGGGTAGGTAAAGGTATGATCTAGTGGGCAGCTACCCCCTTTTGGTTAAGACTAAGTCTTATGTTCACTCGGGATAGCGTGCAAGAGCCGAAGCCACAATTTTCAAGTTTATGAGCACTGAAAATTGATTAATTAGCTATATTCATTTACAATAAAAATAAGGATCATAAATRTTTACAATAAGAAAATCAAAAAAAGAAATTTATATATATATATTAAGCGTTTTCGACTAATAGCCATCATCAGAATATATTCATTTTTTTATTACTGGAGAGAGCAGCTTTAATATGATAGTCTTACATAAATGATAAACCTAAACTTGCTACAAATTTATTTATTCTAGTCGTTTCCTCTATTTCTTGTCTACTGTTTTAATATATYGATTAAGAAAGCTAGCCCAAAATACGGCTTACAAGTGGATCATGTTTTACATGCAAATGGAACATATGAAAGYTATAATATRTATATAAAAAAGTTGCGCAGTTSTAAAMAGGGCGMCCTTTGTCGTTGATACTATGGTTTGGCCAGGAATTACACGACTCAGTGGCCAGTTAATCCGATGTGATATCAGTCCCAGGCCTTTTAGCTCGSTTCGTCGAACTGTCKKTCGCAGGACAACGGAGCGGCCAAAAAAGGGTCTGGGACTRGAGTATTGGGATTAGAGTTATTTAAGRGATTAGTGATGACGGGATTACTGTGTTAGGCTTGTGATCATGGATCAAWTGGGATCAAGCATTTGAATGTATCGCTCAGCAGGGGCGGATGCAGGAKTTTYCTCWGGGAGGGGTGCGGGGCACTCAGTAGGGTGTGCACCCCACAAAAAAATCATTACCATGAAGAYAYAAAATAAGGAAAGTATTGAAGGATACAGATCTCGGGGGGGGGGGGGGGTGCGCACCCCCTGCACCCACCAGCTGGATCCGCCTATGCGCTGGATCACCGTTTTTCATTAATCGGCCAGGATCAGGGATCAAGTTGTGTATCTCTTAGAATCATGACCACTGAAAAGTGTATATACTTCGCTCATATAACTCATRGTGTATTCCCTCTAATGTCGTCTCTACATACGCCAAGAGAAATGGTCCTAAAACTATCTGTCCCTCTACCATCCTCTTTTATCAGAGGTATTTTTCTTCTGTGCCCCGTTTTCGATCTCCTCGTACAACTGAATGATTTTATCCTCAAAATGTG